ACATTTAAGCACGTCTTATAAATTACTGAAGTTTTAGTTACGTAGCATAAAACATTTTGTTTTCCCAAGGCATTATGACAAAACATTACAACTGACTAGAAGTATTTTAGATAAGCTTATACTACAAACTATTGATTCGTATGCACCCTGTGTATAAAATAGATAAGCGGTTAGCGGACAGAAAAGGGTATATATATATATATATATATATATATATATATATATATATATATATATATATATATATATATATATGTCACTCATCGCATACGTGTTTTAATGACTAGACACAGTGGTGAAAGATAGGTACATGAAATTACGGTAAAGAAACAGTGACCAAGTTCCATTTGTTAAGACATTAGTCATAGGGAACATGTACAAGATAACAGCTTGTAGTATATACATTCATATACAGAGAAATGGACTAGTCACAAACTTTTCAATACAACCACACACAGACACCAAGCAAATATTAACGGTGATTTAATAAATGTCAGGATATATTAATTAACTACAAACAGTAGGAAACAATTTGGACAGAAAAACAAAACTGAAAATTTGACTTGTCATTTGTACATCGACTAAATTGACATTTTTGATGGAATTCAGTGTAGTTTTCCCAAAAAATGACAGGATTATTCTCACTGAAAGGTAGTGAGATTCGTGATTGTTAGCACAAGATTACGTGTTACATTGCAACTTGGTGAAAAGAGGCCACCAAAAGAGAAAAACCTGATCAGGGTTTATTTCCATTTGAACTAAATTATCGTATTGATGAACAATGCTCACATGGATACACTATATTAGGATATGATGATACACTTTCTTTGAATACCTTTAAGTAAATTTTATCATGTCTTATCCAAGTGTAACAATCAATAAACCTAATATCAACCAACACCTGACTAGAACTCAAGCAATTTAAGGCGGCTTAGTGAAATTTGTGTTGAAAAGTAACTTGATGGGAATCACGTAACTTGGTGTTTTATGTGATGATTAGTTGGTGTTAACTGATAAATGAATAATTAAATAAGAGGGAAGCCATTATTTCTCATCTCGTCTAAAATCCGTCAAGGATTACTAGTCATTGTCCATCAGAGGAAGTGTTAGATAAAACAGTGATACATAATACTACGAGTAATATAAAGTATTAATTGATTTGTAGGAGCTGGTACTATGTCAAGCCCGCATAGGTTATTCTAGACTCTGGACAGATCAATTTAACCATTCTTCTCAAGCCGTTTTTACCTTGTCGCTTATTAACCCTGACTGTGTTAATTACTTACCCTATCCGTCATGTCTGCAAATTATTTTTGTCCGAATATAAGTATGGAGTCACGCTTGATAAAATTTAGTTGGCTCACATGCCATCTCCGATACGTTTCGCCTCGCTTCGTCTCCCTGATTCTCTGTTCAGGTCAACGATTGTATGAAATATATGTATTCAAACTTCATTCTCGCGTTTGATTTATTTTAATCCCGTTATTCACTAACGCGATTCAAGACGACAAATAAATATGAGGATTGGCAGCATGAAAATTTGTATAGCAATCATTCAGATTGTGGTGTATGCTGCTGATGTCGACAGATATGAGTAGTACGTATCATCAATCGAAAATAAAATGCCTGGCGTCAGAAGGTTAAGAAGATTGAAGAAAAGAGAACTGAGAGTGACTAGTGTGGAGACGAAGAAACAATCGAGTCTGAGACAATTGATTGATATTTTGCAAATAAAGTATTTGCTGCACGATTCTCAGATTTTACTAAGAGATTCTGTAATAATATATTTGGTTGTTCCCACTTATATTTTCGTTCACTGTAATACGATTTAAATAGTCAGATTTAGGGCCATTAAAGACTGTCTTACGGAAACGTCCATAATAATCTCAAATTCTATAGGAAAAATACTGAAAGGTCCCATACAACTGTTTCTTAAATAATATACTTTAACCCAGAACTTTCATCACTAACCTCGTAAGAAATATCGAAGATAACCTAGACCTATTGTAGGACAGATACTCGGTGCGTATGATTACAGAAATCTGCAGATTCGTACGACTTGTATTTAACTACTAAAAATCTCACTTAGTAGTATATCTCTACAGGAAAATATTGTAAGTCGGAACGCAACACTACTTGTCGCACACTCAACTAAATAATATCTTTTCCATATTACTTAACCTCTTCACCAGGTGAGTCGTTAAATATTTCAAGTCCTTTTTATTCTTAATATCCACCGACAAATCTACAACACTTCTTTCATCAGTGATGAATAGTTCAGACAATCCTTTGTGCTAATACGATCAGAAATAGGAGTAATGCATGTCATTCAGTCCAGAGTCATACTATTAAAATTAATATCTAACAAACTACATATTCAGTGCCAAGAAATTTGTTACCTCAAATCAAAGAATACTACGGAATATGATAAACTATACTATATAACTGATACTACCGGAATAAATTCACCATGTTCGGCACGCGTATAAACCTGTTACAATTAATTAAATATAGGAACTCCTGGGAAGATTTAGCCCCCTAACTTTACAAATAATAGAAGTAACTTTAACTAATTTTCATAGGTATCTTTACAGAAATTTCAAGACGAACTAGTGGTAAAAGCGCCAGTTAAATGTCATTTGAAATGCAATTCGAACAAAAGCACATTACCAGATATAGCTTTAACATAAAATTAATTACAATTCAGTTACAGCTAATTTCCTACCTATATTAAAACTAAAACACACTTTTTAGAGTAATAGTACACAGTTTCTATCGTCTACAATTTTCTTCTTCAGAATTGCAGGTACGTATGTTAGTACATACAAATTTATGCTTTAAATATTATTTTATCTACTTCCTTTAATCATCACTAGGAAATACTGTTAAAACCTATAATTCTGATTACTTTATTTTTATAACAATTTGCTCCGCTAAGCGAAAAAAAGTAGATATGTAACATAAAAGCGATTAAGTTACAAATAATTAGCAAAAATAAGCTGAAAATCTTAACTACAGTAAAAACGAAATCTATTTAAAGTGCAATTATTTAGTTTGAGTAAACAGTCGGAGAGGCAAATAGATATAATGTATTTACAAGAACGATAAGAAATATATATAAACTAGCGGAAATATAAGCTATAAAAGCCAAACAACAAACCTATTCAATAACTTTCTGCTAATATCTAATTTGTATGTATGCATAAACACTATGAAGTGACAGTAGTAGTATTATTAGCATTAATCGTGTTACTATTAACAGTAAAAGAATATTTTAGTTATTTGAATGATATTTTAAAAAATAACCTATTTTTCTCTGAGAAAGTTATCATCCTTTGCTTATTTTCCTAAGAATAATAAAACAATTGGTCTAAACAAACATGGAATTATAAACGAAACGGATATTTTTTTCTTAAATCCACATAATCAATAATACTGTGGTATTTCAACTGTCTGTACTGTACTCTCTGATTTAAATGGATTTACCAGAATTATGAAAACTTTGTGGTTGTCTCATTGACCGTAAATGGGGCGTATACTGTAAATTCATGTAAGTTAATTTTTAAACCTAATGAACTTCTTTTTTGAGCTAATGGTGATGCATGTCTGAAAACCTTAAGAGGAAGGAACTTTCAAAATAGGACAGGAAGTGATAGTTGTAAGTCCCAACTTGATTACATAAATGGTTGAAAAACGAATATTGTGTCTGTATTAAGCATCAGATAAAATTCGGTATCAACTCAATGCGCTTACACAATCTTACTACCCTTAAAAAAAGGAGCGGAAACAAACAAGATTAGATAATCAAGTTTCACACGTGATACAATAATAGATGATGTACCGTATTTTGTGCAATAAACAGTAAATCATTTTGATACGCCATGTTTGACAGTTATTGCACAAAACAACATGAGGTTAAGATATCATCACACCACTTGTGTCTCACTCTGAAACCGATTGCAAAAGTGAACATCTACCTAATAACTAGCTTCTATCTCAGTGAAATAATTAGGAAGGACAAAATTAATGACCAGGAAAGAGACAAAAAACTGAGTTAAAAAAGCAACCAATTTGAAAAACAAACAGTTAAAATTACCAGGTGCATACATATACCTGTTTACAGGCGGAATTTATTTAAAGTAGATGTAATGCCTAAACACAAAAATGAAATTGATAGTTGAGTTACTCATCCTGGTAATTTAATTTTCGTAATGAGATACGTAAGTCAGGTACATTTGGTCGAAAAAATAACTCTAATTCTCCTCAAAAACCTGGTGCAACACTACTTCCTGAAGGGTGAGTAATAAACGATAAAAGCACATCAATTTTAGCTAATCCTACAATCGGATGAAATAACACAACAACTAGTGAATATGAAGTTCAAAATGGTAACAAACAAAATATGAAAACGTAACAATTATTAGTTGGTTACAAAACACAACTGTGTACATTCACCAAAAATAATACGACGAAGTCATGTAAGTCACAAAAGTCAGAACAATTTTATGCAGTTACTTATCGAATTAATACAAGACAAGACGAAAATGCAGTTTCTCTTCTGAACATAGCATTGGGATGATAAAGTTTTAAAAATTATCAGGAATATACTAAATAAATTGCACCAGCACAAAGCTGCTACAAATAATGTCAAATTTCAAAACATTGAGAAATAAATAATGAACGTAGTTGTACAGACAAACATGAGTAGTGGTTTATGACTGACCAGAAGAATTAAGAAACATCGCAAGAAAACCAAAATAATGTGAATACTTTATCCGAAAGTAGGTATTATCCTGGCTAAAAACTCCTGTTACACATATCCAATAATATAAACTTACACCTACGTAAACAAATTATCCATATAGCTGTAAACTCCAAATACATATGTCAATATTAGATATACAAGACAAAATATATTGAAATAAATAAAAATGAAAATAATCTGGTCTAGGAATATACAGAAATTTTGAACATAAATACTAATACAATGTTTGTTAAAACTAGTCGACCAAATGCTCTATATATGAAGTAGACAACTCCTGAACACTAGCAATTTGTTTTTGAAATTTTAATCGGGCTTGGGCTTCAAGACTTAAAATTTCATTAAGTTGACTAATAATGTTTTTATGAGCAGCATGTTGATATAACAGCAGTTCAAGTTGCTAAAATAAAAAGGGAAAAGAAAACTACAATTATCACTGCGTAAATTACAAATGATTACAATTCAGATTTCATCGATGAGATAGAAGTCGGTCAGTCAGCTACAAAGTACGACCAGGTACATATATGCATCGGTCCAAGTTGGCACACCTCATTAGCACAACAAGATGGACACCGGATTCATAAAAGTAGTTAATTCAATGTATATATAAAATGAAGATTCCATATAAGGACATAGTACAGGAAGAAAGAATTAGTTAGTAGAAGAAAGATATGAAGCAACTTTAACCTCACAGTTTGAAAGACAAAAAGTGCATACACCGACGCCATTGTGATCGATTCTGAGCCATGTCACCCAGAGTCTCTAAACATTGGTTACGATAGTCACGCGGACCCCAACCAAGTAGTCTGCATCTACTAACGTGGCTAAGACTAGAAGTTAGTGACTCCAGGTACTGATGCCATGTTTTGGTTTGGCCGTCCCTCACTTACTTCCAATCGTCTCCAACACTAGTCAGCATTGCGCGTCGTGGCAATCGGTGTCCAGGCAAACGTAACATGTGACCCAACCATATCAATCGGTCAAGACTTACAACCTCATCAAATGATTTACCATCATTCTCAACAGATGCTGGCAATATTTCCAAGACATCTGTGACTAAATACTAGTAACTTGTGAGTATCTTCTGCTCTTGAAGACTACAGTTCACAGCCGTGAAGTAGAACAGAGCAAACTGCTGTGCCGTATACTCGTCCCTTAATTGATAGACGGATATCTCGCCTTCGCCATAAGTGACGTAAGTTGGCAAAAACCAAACGAGCTCTCTGAACCCGTGTAGATTTCGTCAGATACCAACCCATTAGGGCTGTTCAGACTTCTAAGATAAGTAAAGTTTTCGATGCATTCGACTACTTTACTCCTTATCCTTAGGTTCGAGTGTTGATGCAGGCCAGTCCTGAAGTGACAATTCGCATTCAAAGAGGAGAAATGCATCCCAAACATCCCGGCATTGTTGCTTAGTGCTATCGAGACTGCATTTTATCAGCGTTTTCGCCAAACAGGACTATATCATCTGCGTATCCTAAGTCGATAAGTGGACCTCCTGATAGATCAATGCCTGAAAATTCAGTCGACGAGAACGTTACTTCCAGCAGCAAGTCTATGATGAGGTTGGACAAAGACGGAGAAAGTGAACAGCTTTGACGGACACCACTTGAGGTCGCAAAATCAGATGACAATTTGCCATAAGCTCTGATTTGACGGGTAGTGTTCGAGTAAAGTCTTCACAAGGTTTATGTACTTCTGAGGTACGCCTTTCAATGACAGACACTGCCACAGAATCTCTCGGTCTACAGAGTCAAATGCTGCTTTTACGTCAAGAAAAACGATCATTGTAGGACGCCGATAAGCATGTCTGTGTTCTAAAACCTGACGAATAGTGAATATGTGGTCGATGCAGTCACGACTAAGTCTGAAGCCAGCCTGATTTTCTCGTGTTTGCAGTTCACGAGTCTTTGTTAGGCGTATGATAATTATTGAGGCTAGTATTTTAGATGCTATATCAGTCAAACTAATCCCTCTACGGTTATCGCAGTATGATTCTGACCCCTTCTTATATATTGGGACAAACAGTGATTGCGACCAGTCAGATGGGATAACGTCCAGTTCCCAGATTTTAGCTAGAATATCAGCCAACTTAATCGCTAAAATTGGACCACTATACTTAAAGACCTCTGGAGCCAATCTATCTCGACCAGCTGCTCTTCCTCGTTTCAGATTAGCTATAGCCTTTTGAACTTCAGCTAGAGTCGGAGGACCTACTTTAATGTTCTATTCAGATTGTTTGGGAATGGTTGAGATAGAAATAAAGCAAAGTTTGCCAAAGCGTTAAGAAAATAGCCACCTGAAAGCTCTGATGCTTTTTTATTGAAGTCATTTGGGACGAAACCGACGTACAATCAGCATTTTTGTATTTTAAGCTATATCTAGTAATGTAAAACACCATACTAATGCAAGAACTGAGTTATTTTCAAAGGGTTATAACGCACCAGCAGATGCAAGCGCAACACAACTTAATAAGTTATCCATTCCATTTACTAGTTGTGAATATCAAAAGTTTGGTCAAGGAAATATTCGCCACTGAAGTTTCAGGATTGAAACACATCTTTTAAAATAATCTCACATTGTGGGTGGGGTATTATTTACGAAATTGAGAGGATGAAAAGCGAATGCCGACGATTTAACCAGGTTGGTAGGTATGGAGGATTCACCTAGGGAAGTTGGAAAACCCTGATTCCAAACCAGAACTGCACATGTATTCCAGGATCCTGAACCAATCGTTGGTCACCGGCTACCATGTGACTGCATCTGCTCACGTTGCTCCACCGCCTTGTGGATCAGACCTTTAGGTCAAGGGCTCCGGAGTAGTCCTCTAATAAAACCATCTGCTTCGATCTGACCACCCCGGCAGTATCACGGCCCATAAACAAATCAAGTGACTTGTGTGGTGCATATGTATACGGTGCCCCTTTGTATCAATACTTGTGTTTAAATAAATAATAATAAATAACTTTAAAATAATGTCAACAAATGATGACAAACGGTAAACGCAGGTACATATACACATAATGGAAAATTAGGTTGGCACCTGCATGATGTAGAGGTTATTAAAAAGGAAGGGAAACAAGAATGACCTATGAATAGTTACCTGCTTTGAATGTTTTATTCGGACTAATTCATTATCATAAAATTTTGTTAATGAAATTAAATGAGCCTTTACGTCTTCCTGTCTCTTGGCTTTTGTTTTTGATTTTTCACGAAACCGCTTAACGGCACTTCTGTTTCGAATTCTTTTGTTGATGTAATCTGGAGTCTTCTTCATAGGTTCTGGAACACATTCGTACCTTTTCCTTGATTGACTGGGCGAGGGACAATATTCTGACGCCCGAACGCTAGCAGAACTAGGAAATGCTGGGATGATCAGAAAAAAGAACTGACTTAAAAGTGAAGTTGATCAAGATGGAGAGCTACGAAACAAATATACAAACAGACTTCGATATACATCCCATACATAACATTAAAGGGTTTGTATTGAACAAGATAACAAATGACAAACGGAAATGATTGCTTATCGTTTATCATCACTCCTAGAAAAATAACTTTTGAAGCATCATCTCATGTACTTACTCCAGCTATGGTCAGTAATTTGTCTCAATTATCTTAGAACCCATTTAATGTTCAAATAGGGAGTAGATTATGTGATCTTAACATTTCTCATTGGCTAACGACGTTCCAAGTGCTTTTTATTTTAGAATAGAATTTCTAAATATATCATATTTACTAAGCAACTGAATGTTTCGTGATATTCTGGAAACTCCCAACCTTCCTTTAAAGCAAAGTAATTAGCATTAGTTGTACACACAGGCTAAACTATAAGTGTTGATGGACGAAACACCTTGAATCATTGTGATTGCAACGAAGACATTATTATTAATTTAGTAACAGCTCTTAAGTCATAGTTATACAAACACTGACCTATCGATTATTTTAAAATGTGCGATTGCACTAATGTAAGTGGTTAATAACAAGTTGATAACGAGAATCTAAATATTTTTCACCGGCTAGCAAATAGTAATCGCCTATTGTTGTTATTTATACATGAAGTAAAAACATGGAAGGTAACCAGCTAAGAAACTAACTTTTAAGAAACCACTCCAAAACATTTAGTTAAGCTACCTGCAAAGTGAGGGCCCATGAACAAACGACTTTCTGGTCAGTTGACGTCGAGTTAACAGATATTTAGGACAATAAAATTACAAACTCTAATTAGTATTGATGATGTATATAAATACATTCCGAGACCTTTGTTAATTATTTAGTTTTTAAATTGTAAAGGATATAGGAAGATGTGGAGGAGGTTAAGCTGAATAGTCTGCTGGTGGAAGGTAAAGAATCACTTGACGATATGGTACTGCTGTAGTATAAGAGAAACTTGGATCTCCTACTAATGTTGCCCCGTTAATGAGCTCTTAAATTTAGTCATCTGTCGCGATAATTTGAGATATGGATGAATAACCGAAAGTATTAGAGCCTAGGACCAATGATAAGTAACTTAAAACGCTATCGGAGCGACGAAAAATGAAAGTAAAGTCGGCAGGATTATTGATTCCAAAAATCACGAGATGAAAAATAAGATTTAAAGTAAAAGAAAAAGTTACGGAGCGAAGACTTTGGAAGTACACAAATATTTGTGACTGGGTTAACTATAAATGTAACTATGTAACTGACTAGACGAAACCACTTAGTTTCCTACATTAGAACATTATTTTAAGGAAGTATAATTATCTTGACTTCCATCAGTCGGCGAGACTATAATTCATGGACGAACCAACCAGATATAAGATATCGAGTAATAAATTATAGCGCGAAATTTATTCATTCATTTGGTTAAATAGAGATTTGGCATTATAGCTTATGTCATTTCGTGACGAAAACGCTAAATCTAACTTTTAACCTTAACCATCAACTGTAAATCATAATTCTAACTAGTCTATAGCTCCTATTTTATCTTAATTAATAGGTATCCGTCCTCAAGGTGACTTTAGCGTCGCTTAAAGGTCGTCCATATATTATAGTCTCGCCTATTATTGAGTCCAGAAGACGATCAGGCGTATTAACTTAGCAAGAGGAAAACACTAAATTGATTTGCTACGCCGCACGGCTTTATTGTTACCTTACGGGCTGATATAAGGACCGGAGACTTTATATGGTCTATGACGTTGAGAACCAACATATAAAAATGCCTAACTTGCACTATTTAGAGCCTGAAGAAGCATACTCTATTCAAACTGTGACAAACCTATGTCGTGCGATTATCCCCATTTTTGTGCTTGGCGAAAGGTTTTTGCTAATTGGGGTGCTTTAGTAGTGTAAGTGAACCCAGTTAAAGAAGTTTGTTCATTAGCGAATGTTATCATTTTTGGGTATTTGTGATGCTACGATTGAGTGTAAACTGATTGATATAGAATGGACACTCACTGTTGATGGGACTATGATCTTCCAAAGTTCTCCTACTACTGTCTGCTCTTTCAGTAATATTCATCATGAACCGAACCGTGGCGAATTAATCATCAAGAGCGCGGTTTATTTGACCTAAATGGACAAATAATTGTATATATTTAACGTTTACATTTAACATCCAAATTTAACAGGCAAAATATAAATATCAGTAGAATATGGTAAAATTCTGTCCTGGGTCCTTCATAGCATTTCAAGTTTGAGCTTGAAAGACTCCGAAGAAATTATCCGGGCTACATTGGCAGGAAGCGGATTTCAGGACTTGACTAGTCATATAGAGTACAGGATTGGCTTAGAGTCCATTCTGCTATGTTGCGCTCATTATTTCTGAGTATAGTCCTGAATTTCGGGTTGTAAACAAGCCTAAGTAAGTATAAAGAGATGACCAAGTATGTTTACAACGTGATGAGTTATTAAATCACCGCCGATGTATCCATACTCTAATGGGTCCAGTGGTTTCAAATCCTCTTAAGTTCTAATACAATTCCTCGAAATTATGATGTGACTTGCCTCTTAATACGTTCCCCTTTTTCCCATAGTTTCGAAATTAGGGAGGAAACACTGTCACAGTACTATAAATGGCGTCGAATAAGACTGTTAAAGGGTAGGTGGAACGTTCTGTTGCCAAATTTTCCAAGAATGCACCCCAACGTTATCAGTATAAGGTTTGGTCGAAAGACATCGTCACAGTTATCATAAAACTTGTCACGCATTATTCCGAACCAGTCAAACCATAGTCAAAAATGAAGGAGTTCGAAGGCGAGAAATTTCGGGAAGTGTGTGATCTGAGCTGACTATTTGTTAAAAGGATTCTAGTACGTAGTGCCTACTCATAAAATGGTTTGAATGCTTGGCCGAGTGCCTTCAACTAGGGTGTGTCTAGTAGAAATAGCGAAGTCAGCACCAATGTGCAAGATGTACAGAACTAATTATTTCGGGGATTTATTGGCCTCTAAACAGTTTATTACTGGAGACTTGCTAACTAACTATTTGAATTTACTGGTATAACATGTGTGATTGACCTTGGAAAAAGCTTTTCGGTGGTCGAGATATATCACATCAACATTCCGCTTGCGAACGAGGATGGTTGTCGATCTATCCACCGCAGTCAGCTGAGAGCTACCTGCAAGTGTGGCACTTTCTGAAACCGTATTGCTAGAGTGAAGAGTAGTTTGTAACAAGCAGTCACGTATACCATCGCATATCAATGACCTGACGATGCTGAAACAAATGATATCAGCCAACTGAGACGTTTATTCCGTCGGTCTCCATGGAAAACTGATGTAATGTGCACTGGCTTAGAGTTGTCTGAGACAGAGTTATGGCTTAGTAAGTGTAGGAACATCACAATAAGCGGTGTTGCCAAGATTGAATCCGCCTCCCCTAGTATAGCGGAGTGAACTATATCCAAGTCAGAAGTGTCATTGTTTAGGTCCTCTGGTTTCTGACACACCGATCCTACCCACCGTTTTACTTTTTAGAACTCCTATCAGGTTGCACGTGCATCTGTCGTTGATGTACGTGATACGTGATTAGTAAGGTGTTTGAGGGTACTGTTTGCTGGGAGCTCTGAGACAATACTACCGTTGTTGTCAGGACCATTAGCGCCGTACACTCCAGAAACCCCCTTGTGGTACATTTAAAGACTTTGCATTTGAAGACTCCAAATCCCGATGACTGTATGTTGCTTGTGGCTCTTGAGGACAGACTAGATTGTAGCACTAATGATGAAGTGCAGCAAGAAATCTCAGTGACCATTCACAACAAGTTGAGGGTAGGCTTCTCAGTCCACCTGCAATGGATTGTTCTCTAAGGCTGACTAACCCAACTGACTGAAATTCCAACAAACGTTGTTGATACTAGAATGACAGATCGAATCCCGAAATTGTAGATTTATCACTATGTAACCACCTAATCCGTAAGATTTTAGGCGAAAGTCACATCACTCACTGTACTGAATCGTCCTATCCTGACTGTGAGTAGTTCCTGCCAATGTTTACTGAAGAACTTATATATTTATTGTGAAGGACAAGAGGCTACGCAGTGGTGATTACACCTGCTTGGCAAAGTTATGCCAAAGAGATTGAATGTTTCCACGTTCGCCACCTCTCACCTTCTCTTTTGAGTTAAATGTCATCGTGTATTCGGCTCCAGAGATAGTATGGTTAAAAAACGAAACCACAACAGGCTCTCTCCAGATGATCTCGAGAAGACATCTTAGGGTGTTAGATAATCGCACTAAGCGTCATATAGATTCGCAAAAATCGATAAACCATAGGACATATACTTGATGTCCTATTCAGCAGGATCGTACATACAGGGCTGCCCTCCCATTCAGGATTTTTCATCGTTCCGAAACGAAGACATACTGAGCACTGGAGGCTTCTAGCCTATGACTTGAGATGACCACGTCTTAGATATCCATATCGGATAAGTACTATCTTTTTTATACAGTTCACGTAACTCCTTTATTTTTGTTTGATAAACTAGCAGCATGAGTTTGTAAGTAGTCAGTGCTTTTTATTTGAAATGTACGTGCACCCTCGTTCTATTTGTCTGAATGAGCTTTGTATGTATGGACAGGAAATTTATCTACACAAAACTTTTCGAATGACTTTGATCAATGCAATTTCAGTTCCGGCCTCAACCTGCGAGAGGCAGAAGGCCGGACGACTTGTGATAGTCCTGTTGATAAGGACCTATCAGTTGATACAAATTTCATCTGAATGCCATAGCCAAGTCTTGAAACAAGGAGTTCCAGTGGTTGATAAGTCATTAGGGATGTCGGTAGTCAGTTGACAAGCAATGTATCCTAAGCAAATAAACTATTTTTAGAGTCTTCTTGTAAATTTTTGTTTTGCATGACAAGAAAAGGGAGGGCTTATTATATGAAGAAATGTTATTAGGCAATTTATATACTTCAGTTTCATTTTGAAAACTACAGGAGGTCGGATGACTCGTGCTAGTCCTGACAATGGTGCTTCCTCAGTTGATTCATTTTTCTCTTGAAAACTTGGCTGCAATCACGCGTTTAGGCAGTGAAGTTTACTCACTGATGATTAGCTGGGACTGTCAGTAGTCAGTTAACAATGAGTTTATTTGTGTCTTCGTAAACCCTCTGCTTTGAAAGACCAGAATTACTGAGGGGTATCAGTTGTGAATTTATCACTATGTAATTTAAGATTCGTGATCAAAGCACCGTTTCTTCAATATGACAACGGAAAAAAGGTTAGTTTGGTTTAATCGAGTATCATACGCGAGCTCCACCACTACGGAAATCAGCTTAGTTCCGGTTCTCTAACCCTTGTCTTTTTTGTTCTGTCTTTTTTTGAGCAGGGGTTAGTTGCTTGTTTATGGTTCTTGAGTAACATTTCGTCTCTAGTCCTTTTTTAGAACAAGAGAATGAGTTAATTTTAACCCTTCTCTCGTCATATGGCAACTTTGAGACCCTAGGTGTTAACTTAGTTGGAATTTTTCGAACGCTCCCTAGCAAACGGCTGCTGATTTTTAGGCACGGTTTTAAGACTGTATACAAAGGCTTTCACATCTAAGTAGCTGTAGGTTCTACCTAATGATCAGAGGATTCTTAAACTATGAGTAGTTGTTATACATCAGTGTGTAGTGTTTTCCAAACCTTGAGTGAGAATGACTACCAGATAAATGGGTATATAAACAGCGAGTAGCTCAATATTTTTCAACATGAATGTGTCTGTACATCCATGATTAAAAGAAATCATAATTCGGTTAAAATATTTATCGGTAGTTAAAACATTCTGAACAGTTCAAATAATTTTGAAATCCTTATCTACACCTTTACTGTTCATCTATCAGTATCGTCGTGACATCGCAAAAATGATGACAGCGACGAAAAACTTCACTTGTATACAAGAAAAATGATAATGGTCGGAAATCTGTACCCTGGAGCACTCCAAGGCACTTTGAAACTTGAAATGAATCTGAACTCTTAGTTAGCATTCAACTCTAAAATTATTTGTCTACACAAATGTATTACTTCCAATTCCAATATCACTTAGATACTAACCTGTTGTGTATGACTTTTCTGTTTGAACCTTAGTGAAGTTGATGCTGGATAAATATATGAAGCCCTTGGTTTGTAGGGCTTTAAAAACCTCTCCAATATTTGGGAGCAACTGATAAGTTTGTGGAACATGAATCAACTGTCCTAAAACCGTTCTGGGTTGCTGATAGGACCAGGTTTTCATCCAGATACTTAAAAAATTATTATTCACAACCATTAATTTTAAGTGCGCTCGGATAAGGACAAGCAAAATTATATAACATGATGTCTCGTGAACATTCTTTTCTGGGAACTTGACGTCCAAACCATCTTAAATTACGAGCCTGTAATTTTCTGACTTATATCTCGTAATCATTCTGGAAGGCAGAAACCCTTCGTTACAGTTAGATTAAAATGTAAGCTTTGTGGATTTACGATAAACTTTACGAGTTCATTTGGTTCTTCATATATTTTCCCGAATCGAGTTTAGTTATTAAAACAAAACTATCGAGTTCGTAAATAGTCACTCAACCCGAAGTGTTGTGTTGTGAACGCGTGACTGCAGATTTTGATAGCAGCGTATTTATCGACCGATCCAATGACACGTAAAACACGTACGAACGACCTAGAGTCCCGATTGGCCCTGCTTCGCTGTCTAGCCCAGCCAGTTGGGTCCAGAACACAAGTCTCAGCCTCTGAGCTATAAATCATTATATTTCAGACATACTCTGTTTATATACCAACCAAACAAACCACATCGTACCATAAAATATAAAACAACATTTGTACAATATTTAACAAGTAAAATAAATATCAACCAATAGGGAATGTACATTTAAAGTCCAAGGACACCGTTAGACTTAACATGATAATTATTGGCATATTTTTCTGCACATCCTAACAGTTGATTGATTGTACTTAAGGAAAAGGAATCTCCAAGTAATTTAAATTGGCTCGGAAACACCCGGACTTTGTCATTATCTTCTAGTGGCGATGTAGTACACAGGTGA